TATGAGCGAATACTAACCTGATATGCTGGCTAATCTGTCCAAATTGCATGTCAAGAACAACAATAACACCTCAGGCACGCAAAGACAAGAGAAAAGACTGGGCGTCGATAAGAGAGCTTTTACTGTCTCAAACAACAGTCAAAATGCTAGACTGAAATTCGGAATATATACAGAAAGAATCACTTTGAAAATGTAGTAATTTGGTGATACATTAAAAGTGCTACCAGCCAATAGGAGTCCATAAATTCAAACAGACGGAAAAACTAAGGAATCACGCCAGTGCTTGATAACTCCCTAAAAAAGTTACTTTGAGTTTTTAGACAAGATTTGCAGAACTTGACTGATATAAAAGATAGTCGATTCACCAATCCTTTAAAGTGATCAGCCCATTGTTTTATTTGTTTCTCCTCCTTGGTAATCTAGTTCCCTTGAGCATCTTTTATTGGTCTCATCATCTGGGTTAATCTCTTCCCGAATAGAGACCTGGTTATCTGATCTAATGACGCGAGGTCTCTTTTACCTGCGGCCAGTCTGTTACGCTTCAGTTGCCGGCCAGTGTGTAGAGTTTTCTTTCGTCTTTCTTAGCACTCTTCTTCACTTCCTTATTCAGTGCAGTGTACATTGAACTCAGCTTCTCCTTCTCTTGTCCATATCTGCATTGAGTCGTCCTCTGTCTCACCATCTTCCTCTCTTCTATTAGCTCCCAGGTATCCGCCGACAGCCATTCCTTGTCTTGTCGTCTCTTTCTTCCTAAAGCAGTTGTACACGTTTCCCTCAACATCGCCTTCAGAGAGTTCCAATGTTCATCCACACAGGTTTCCTCAGGGATGCCATGTAGTGTCTCCGACTTTGCTCTGATGTCTACAGTGAAGGTGTCTTTTGTAGTTCCGTCCTCAAGTTTCTGAGTGTTGAATTTGAACTGTGGCCTGTCTCCAGTTGTTCTGAAGGATTTCAGCTTCACCTTTAAGGTTTCTTGAACTAGATGATGGCTTGAGCCAGCGTCTGCTCCCCTTCTCGACTTTGTATCCGGCAGACTGCGTCTCCATTTCTTGAACAGCATTGAGATGAAATCTATCTGGCTCGTGGTGTGTCCGTTAGGCGAAACCCATGTTGCTTTGTGTATATCCTTGTGCTTGTACAGACTGCCTCCAATCACCAAATCATTGTAACCTTCCTTCCCTCTGAGTTGAGTGTTGCTGTCATGATCCTGGAGGAGGTTGATTCCCACAGCATTAGAGCTTTAACTGACACTGGTGAAATCATGGTAACACTCCCTCAGTGTGTTCGTGGTTGTCGTCTGCGTAGGTGACCGGAGTAGATTACCGACTCTCCAGTTGACAATTTGACTAGTCCACATCCATTCCATCTGCTGCCCAGATACCCGGCACTTCTTTGCCATATCCTCGCATTTCGTTGGCTAATTGAGCAGCCTTCGCAGCCTCGTACATTGTACGGACATTCTACGTCCCCATTCTTATTCTTGCTGTCATCGAGAGAAGACTCATTGGCTGACTGGCTTTCCGAAGGCTTTCACCAGCCCGCGTCATTTCGCTTCTCCAATTCGAGCGAGGAATACGAATGTTGTTATTTGAATGTTTTGTATTTTTAACATATTTTTTGTGTATTTAAGTTTCTCTAGCTTTTTTATATATTCAGTAGTATAGGGTTGCTTGCCCTACGCCCAACCCTCCCTTTCTAGCCGGGCTTGGGACCGACTAGAAAACATGCAAGCTAGTTAACTAGGCTAGGTTAATCCTTCCATCTAGCCCACCTTACTTAAAAAAATGCAAAAATAATTTAATGATAAAGAAATTGGAATGCATCAAGGGTGACTTTGAAATTGATGCCATTGTAATACAGGACATGTTATGCATTGATCTGCAAGAAAACTAAAATATGTTGACTGTGATTCTTAACAGATCATATCGTATAAATAACGTAAACCCGGCTGCTACAAAAGAACTTGAAAGCAAAAGCACCCGCAGACTTTCTGTGTAATGAAATGTGTTTTCTTTAAAATGGAACTATATAGTCATTTTACAAAGTAATATGGTTTAAGTTACTTTTGAAAAAGACATATAAGTATGTAGTGTGGCGTTTTCTGAGAAAGTAATGTTAGTATATGTATAACTGGAGTATCCTCTGTAGAATAAACGTGGAGGAGATAGTTTCAATCCTGAAAAAACTTAGTAAATCATATACAGTGAAGAATAAAGTATCTGGAGTGAACTGAATTATCAGCTTTGAACTTTGTACAAAAGTGCAGCAGTTACCACACTTCCGAAAAGCACATAAAATTAGAGGTAGGAAGTGTAATTAAATTAAGATAGACGAACATGTACCAGAGAAATAATATTTTTATGAAAAACCTAAAATATTATATGGAGTGAATACGTCTGCACTACTGAGAACATGTTTTAGTCATGTCATAAACAGCCTCTTGAAAACCCCATACAAGTAGTCAATACCTGAAGATCACCAGTTGTTGTCATCATTTGAGACGACAATTCTCCATGAACTCTAACGTGACTGTATCAGTTCTAGTAAGTCACCTAAATCAGTGCAGTATATTAACTTGACGCTCACTTACCACAACCCTTCTCAGTGGACCGAGTTAAATGGCTCTTTTAGGTCAAGAGGTACTGTTAGTGTTGAACTCGTGCTTTTATTTTGAAAAAAGCTGTAGGAAGACATAATTTTTTCTGAAACGTGTAATGTACCTGAGCAACGAAATTCATGGCTAGGGCTACATCGTAATGAAGTATTTGGCTCAAACCCTGTTTGTGTATGGGTTTAAAGCCACCGTCAAATTCAGCTGTATGACCCGCCTCTATAACGTGCTGTGTTAAAGGTGGCGTTGAATGTCTGTTGACAGGGTCAGTTAAGTTACAGGACTTCATTTATTTTTCCAGCCACTTACTAATGTGTTCTTCAGCCCTAATCTGCAAAGTTATATGGGTCTTCCCTTGAGACGTGTGACAACACATCAAAGCAATTTGATAAACTCATTGAGATGTGATATTATCGTTTAAATTCCGTAAGGGATGCATATATAAAAATCAGGTTAGCTGCACAAAAGGCTGTTTAGAGTAAACAGACCTCAGAAATCATTCTTGGACGGTAAGGTTGTATTAAATCTTTTTTCGAAACTGATTGAATTGGCTGAGCCTTTTGTTTGACGCTTCTATAACCTGTAATGTACTTAAGACAGTATTTACAATATTATTAACAATATTATGGGCAGGTTCCTCATTTCTTCTTCATTGTTAACCTCAAGATATGTTTATTGAATACATCAAAAGAAAGAAACAATTAACCATCAACACTTTTTTAAAACTGGAGAAGACAGAAACCATGGTAATTTAGAAACGGTTGCGTTTAGATTGGCTTTCCATAGGCAGATCATCTTGTTAACTTATCATGTCAACGAGTGATGAGTGCGTCTAAAAATGGCAAACAGTCATTGTTCTTTCAGCTTTAATAACAATATGCTGGTCTATATTCCATTCATCCGGTTAGGAATTTCTTGTCATCGATCGATATGTCATAGACAATTATGATATCGTCCAGATATCTTCTGTGAAGACAATTCTTTCCAGTTAAGTCTCCAGGTATGTTCTCAACATGTGATATATATATATCGGCCAACAATGGACCTAATGGAATTACAGTAGCCAAGATCTAGAGCCGGCCTTATTTTCAAAACTTGTCGAAGGGTGAATCAGTGCACCCTCATCCAGTGTTGATAGTCCACATGTGAAATAATTTTTCTCCAATAACTAAGAAATTATTGCTAGTTGTGCGTCGGTGGCACAGCGTTAGAATGCTTGCCAAACACGCATGTGGTCCGGGGTTCGATCCCCGGTCGACACACTCCCTAACCTCGCTAAGCCAGCAACAAGACTGGTAAAGAGGGAAGGTTGCGCATGAGGCCTCTAGCTTGAAGCCACCCTATGTTCCACTGGGAACGTAAAGCGATAAAAAAACGAATTGGTGATTATCTGAAGAGAAACGTTAGAGTTTTGCCCACCCTCTGTTTTGGCATAAAAAGGCCCAAATGTGGAGTTGGTGGTATGTTTCATCGAGTTTCTGGAAGTAGTGACAGCGCTAAGCGAATGTAAAGAACCTACCTGTAGGATAGCATTAACACCAGCAGAAAAGCATGAAGATAGTGACTGATGAACACCAGAAGTTTGTCTAGTAATGCAAGTATATAGGAAAGTGCTAATTTCTGGTTACCCAAAACGCGAAACCTCGAAACTGCTTATAATACCTGAAAATATAATTGTGTTAGTGTCGCATGACTGCAAAACTCAGTGGACAACTGCTTTAGGGTGGTCACACACACTGTGTTTGAAGGCGGAGATTTTGTAGTTTCGTTCATACAGAAGACCTTTTTGTTGGCTTCAGACTACCTTTCGGATAAGTCGGCATGTAAAATTTCTGAGGTAAACCATTTCTAACCCTTCCTCATCACAGTCTAAACACTGTTTATTTGTCCTACTAGTCATTCAGAGGAGTGCACCTTACTATTGTTGCATTTCTGCCGGTCAGCAGTAAGATTTTACCTTCAGACTTCCAGCGTAGTGTATATAACCTAAGTTAGTATGGTAACTACTTTAAGTTCAAAAGCTGTCAAAACAACTTCCCTGGTTGAGTAGTGCCTGCAGGAACATTTATTCCAGGTAGCTGGGTCATTGCCATATGCATACTCTAACAGATTTTGGCAGTGTGTTAGAGCAATAATTTTCGTTCCTCGAATTATTTATAACTATGACATATATGTTTCAATTATTAAGATTAGTTTGAGAGAGAATCTTGAACCATGCACCCTTTTTATTTTTTCTGTTGACACAGCTCCTACGTTTCAGATGCAATAGTAAGTGAATACTGAAATGACTAAATGCCAAATCTGCTGAAATGAGTTTGTATTTTAAAAAATGTCAAAATCTATCCTTAGTTAATTAACTTCTCCTCTTGTGAATTATTATTTCCATTAGATACGAGATTATTACTCCTCACCATATTAATGTACAAATAAAATTCACTGCTGCAACCATTATCGATCATGAAACTACTTCAAAAATTCGGAAGGAATGTGAACCAAGTAGTAATTCATCAGCATTGTCAAAATCAAGTCAGTATGACTTTGACAATGATTTGGGCCTTCATGTTGTTTACAAAGTGTTGTCCCAGCCTAGACATGGAATAATTATCAAACTGAGCGATACAAAAGGGGATTCATCTGAAAACAGAAATGATGGAATCTCAGAATTTACGCAGGTATGTCTGATTTTTAACCAGTACATTCTGAAGAGATTTATACCCTTATTTACCAGTCATGTGAAATGCAGACAAATTTCTGGTTCTCATATTTCGACACTGTTACAAAAGACAAACATCTACATATGTAATTGATATTTTAACTGTAAATATAATTTCCTGATTTTCCTTTATACTAATATGAACGATTTATAGATCTACGTATGACTTTCCTCGAAGCTTGTCAGTCGTTTAATAATTTTTGTAAAAGACACGAGATCATCCGCAATGCCACTAATGTGTTCCCTCCTTATTAATTTTTAATTTCAAAATACGTTTTACACTCTGAAAGTAGAGATGATTAAATTACTAGTCAGCATACAAACTATTTCACAAGTAGCTAGACGTTGTAGGTAAACTAAATATGACTGCAAACCGGCCTTTTTGTCTGTCAACAATCTATTTGGTTCAAATGAGATAAGCGTTTACCAGTTTCTCGAAAAACGGTAAACAAGAAGTTGCTTCCAAAACTAAGTAAAATAAAAGATTTTGGAGTAGAATACTATAGATGACTTTTCTGCCACATTAATGGACTGTGAAATAAGAATATACTGACAATATCCTCACTTATCAATGGGTTCTAAAATACAGGGATGCTTATTAATGTCTGACTAGTGAGATTTTCGTTGATCTAAAATTAAACAATAAAACAGTAGAATTGTGGAAGTGTCTCAGAATTAAAAGGATTTCAGTTTACTGAATTGGAGGGACCAAGACACTTTGTTCTGACTTATACAGAACCAATATACACTAATATTGTTATTGACTACTAATTTTAAATATTCTGTTTATATAAACATACATATAATTGTAGAGCCTGGAAGAGGAATTTATCGAAAAGAATATTCTTTGCTCGATTATTTTGTGTTTTATACAGCCTTGCATAAGATAGTGTGCACCTGTAGATAACTCAGTTCATTTCTAAAGTATACAGAATACAAGTACTTTCGGGAAAACAGCTTACTGATTTACGTCTCAATAAATCTGGTTCTTCAGATGAAATCCATCTCAAAATGTAAATCCTTCTGAGTGTCTTGAACAAACTTTTGAATACTAAAGTGTAATCTTGATTACAGCCCCATACTATAAAAAAGTTATCTCTGTTGCGATACACAATGAAAGATTATTGATTGGAAAGTAGTGCTGTGTTACTGAATGTTATATGAAATATATCTGCTTTATTCAGCCAAAAGGTTGAGAATTCCATTATGGGTAAATTTTATTTTGATAGAGTCTCACAGTGTTATACAGTAATATTTACTGATGACGTTTCGAGCACAATTTATTGCTGATAATCATATCAAGGTAATCACACGACTTCCTAAATTCATTTATATAGTTCCATTGTTTTTCACTTGATTTTCACTTGATTTGATTGGTAGTATTATTTTCCATATCTCGGGTATGAGTGATGATTCATTCCTATTGCATGTGTTGGGTGTAGATTCGATGAACAAAGATTCAGTAATCAACCTCTCTCTCCACCTACCTAGATTACTTTTTAGAATTTTAACCCTCTCCCACCCTATTGTGTGGTTGTGTGTTGATGCATGCATTGCAATTGCCGAGCTTTTTTCTAAATTACTTATCTTCTCTGGGTCAACCATTCTTACCTTAGCTAAATTCTTATGTTCTGACAATCTGACTACCCCTGACCTACTAGTTTGACTTATGTAGTTGACCTCATAGTCATTGCAGGGTATTTTGTAAATTATATTATTTTGTCTAATTGGGTCCACTGGGTCCTTTAACCTACAGAGCTTGTCCCTGAGTGAGTTTGTAGGTTTAAATGCCACCCTAATTCCTGCTTTATTTAGAATCCTACGTAGGGTCTCAGATGTCCCCTCATTATATGGTATAACAAATGAATGAGATAAAAGTACTAGAGAAAGGACTAAATTTCAACGTAACAGTTAATAATTTAAAACCAGAGGATGTCATTCCAAACATAGAAGTAGCACTAGGTTCAATAGATAAGACAACAGCAGAAGAGGTTAGAGCACAATGTGCATTAACGCTAAAAAATCAAAAGAAGGCAAAATCAAACTTGACAAAATCGGAAAGAGAAGCTTTAATTAATCTAAAACAGGATAGAGATATTGTCATCGCAAAAGCTGACAAAGGAAACGCCACCGTAGTTTTGAATAAATCTGACTACATCAAGAAAGTCACTGAACATATTGAAATGGGTCCATATGAGGAAATCAAGAAGCCCGTAGATACAATAATGAATAAGGTTAAAAAATCCACAGCGGAATCAGTACGCAGAATGAAGAGGTCACTGGGTGAGTCAAAATGGTTTAATTTAATGCCTAAAACTAATAATGCTAGTAGGATGTATGGTACTATTAAAATACATAAGCCAGGTTATCCCATAAGATCAATAGTAGATTTTAGAAATACCCCTACATATGAATTATCAAAACATTTAGCTCTAATATTATGCCCCATTAGAAATCGTTCAAATTCTAGACTAACTAATTCATATGAGATGAAAAATAAACTAAATGACATACAACTAGATAATGATGAAACAATGGTTAGTTTTGATATAACCAGTCTTTATACTAATATACCAGTCAATATGGCCTTAGAAGCAGTTAAAAAAGAACTAACTGCGGATCCTGAACTCAATCATAGGACAAAGCTGTCCATTGAAGAAATTATTTTAGGGATTCAGCTATGCCTCACATCTACTATATTTAAATTCCAAGGCAAAATATATAGGCAAACTGAAGTTGTAGCAATGGGATCACCAATATCCCCTATCGTGGCAGATATATTTATGGATAGCTGGGAAAATATGGCACTTAATACGTTCAATCCTACTCCAAAAATATGGTGGAGATATGTGGATGACACTTTCACAGTGTTAAAAACAGAACATATCTCTAGCTTCCTGACACACATAAACTCACTAGTGGAGGGAATAAAATTCACATTTGAAGCCGAAAATGAGCAAGGAGAATTAGCTATGTTAGATTGTAAAATAAAACGAATAGAAGAAGGCAAACTACACACTAGTGTTTGTAGAAAACCAACGCATTCTAATAGATATTTAGATTTCAATTCGTTTCATCCTTTAACTGTTAAGGCAGGCTTAGTTAAGTGTTTAACAAACCGAGCAATGGCACTAAGTAGTCCAAGAAAAGACCTAAATGATGAAATAAAACAGATAGAAGAGGCGTTGGTTTTAGATAACTATCCTCTAAAATTCATTAGGAAGATTGAAAAACGCCAAAAGAAAAATAAAAATAATTGTGAAACTAGTAATAATAACATAAATAAGAGAGAATATAAGTCATCTACAGTTATACCATATAATGAGGGGACATCTGAGACCCTACGTAGGATTCTAAATAAAGCAGGAATTAGGGTGGCATTTAAACCTACAAACTCACTCAGGGACAAGCTCTGTAGGTTAAAGGACCCAGTGGACCCAATTAGACAAAATAATATAATTTACAAAATACCCTGCAATGACTATGAGGTCAACTACATAAGTCAAACTAGTAGGTCAGGGGTAGTCAGATTGTCAGAACATAAGAATTTAGCTAAGGTAAGAATGGTTGACCCAGAGAAGATAAGTAATTTAGAAAAAAGCTCGGCAATTGCAATGCATGCATCAACACACAACCACACAATAGGGTGGGAGAGGGTTAAAATTCTAAAAAGTAATCTAGGTAGGTGGAGAGAGAGGTTGATTACTGAATCTTTGTTCATCGAATCTACACCCAACACATGCAATAGGAATGAATCATCACTCATACCCGAGATATGGAAAATAATACTACCAATCAAATCAAGTGAAAATCAAGTGAAAAACAATGGAACTATATAAATGAATTTAGGAAGTCGTGTGATTACCTTGATATGATTATCAGCAATAAATTGTGCTCGAAACGTCATCAGTAAATATTACTGTATAACACTGTGAGACTCTATCAAAATAAAATTTACCCATAATGGAATTACACTCTACCCCAGTGCGCAAGTTTTATTCTTATGTCAAAAGGTCGAGAAGTTTAACGCATTGGTCCTTGGTTTAATGATAAGAATGTATATGAAAGAAATCCTTAACTGCTAGATTTCTTAAGAAAGTTATCTAAGTAAGTAGAAGTCAGTTGTTGTCTAAACCTCGATGGTGCACTCGCGATCAGGCATATAACAAGTAGTCTGTTTTCTAAATACATCTAACATCTCCCTCTAATTCTGAGTTTGTGGAATAAAATATTTTAATTGCTGTTATTAGTACACAAGGAGAGATATTTTTTTAAATAATATCGAATTATAATTCTATATAAAACAAAGTGTGTTTACAGATAAATCAATAAAATATTTCTTTGCCAATTCTTGACCAGATGATGATGGCTACTAATGCTTATGTTTCCTTTTATGTTTAAGGTCAGCGCTAACCAGAAAGTTTTTTCGGAGTAGTTATATAATATCACCAATGTCAGTTCTTTAATGTCAAATATGATAGATACAAACAGAATGCCTCTGTAGAGGAATCAATCTCTTTATCCAAACTTTAAATTCAAGGTTGTATTTAAGCTTTGAACTGTGCACTAAACCTTACGGTTTTGTGTGAAACTCGTCGAATAAACCATCTTATTTAACTGTGTTGGTGGTAGGAAAATACCTCAAGTAAGTATTGACACGATCCACATCTGTTCCATTAGTAATTAGTATTCGTTCAACCAAGCATCACGCTGATAGGTAGTAACCTAGACATAATATAATGTAGCTCAGAATATGCTGGTATCATAATATAAATTGTTTGAGATAAGAGTTAGTTTATTATCCTTTCAATTTAATTAAAGCTTGGAAATTGAAATTTTAAATGTGCAGTAGGTAGTATAGCGCCGTAATACTAAAGATGTTGTTCAGCTTGAATTGATAAAAATTACTGCGTGTGACATGTGTAAATACGAGTGTTTATGTGACAGTTAATCCAGTCAAGTGTTAAAGAAAAGATACTCCTTCTGGTCACTTCAGTGTGTATTTATAAATTTAATTGTGCGTGTGGAGCAAAGTATATCAGCCGTACACAGTGTCAAGTCCACAAACGTATTCTTGAACACTATCCAACTGGGTTTGCCAGAGGAGGAAAGAATACCAGTAGCTCTACCCACGAGCACCTTGTCAGCTCTGGACACTGGACACCCTCCCACGTGACTGCTTCACAGTACTACACAGAGTTTTGCCATACTCAAGAAAGGACTTCGAATACTCCATCTACAAATAGGTGAACCACTGGCTATTCAGGAATTGAAACCGGCCCTCCACGTTTAAATGCACCGAATACATTCGCTCGCTCTACTGTGACTAAGATAAGGTACTTACCATAATTTTATTTCATTTCACCATTATTATTACTCTCATTATCTTTGTTTTATTACCAGTCTATTATCGTTTATTAATTACATTGCATTTTCAAATAGTTTCTTAAAAGACACTTTGGTCTATTTTAAACAGTTATATAGCAGTCATTTTTCACACTTATCAGGTCCCCCTCAACTTTTACCCCTTTTTCTAATTTCCAATTCGTCATTCCCTTCTAGATCACGCCTCACATTACGTAATACACTTTCTAGAACAAATTTACCAGTATCTGACTGGTCTTATGAATTCTTTCTTTAATATAAGGACGACTGTACAGCTTATGGAAACGAATCATCAAAAAGAAAATTTTTTTTCACTGTTTACCGCATTTTCTTATGAGTTGATATGGGGATATTCCGTTTATTAAAGATGGAGAAATACAAGGAATAAACAAAGACACTGGAAGTAAATGACGATCAGGAATTTCTTATGCTCAACAGAATTATACAGCCAGCAAACACATCCTGCGATCTTGCCATTTCTCTAAATATTTGGATGCGAAACCCAGACATTTTTCTGCAGTTTTACAGCTCAAGGGAAATCTCTGTTCTACCGGAAATGGTTTTGATTTCTAAGAGTTGAGTCACTACTTAACAAATATTACCGTCAGCGATAGAAACCTTCAGAAAATGATTGAATCCATAAGTTACCTTAATATAGAGGGGAAGAGTGGCAGTATTTCACAAAATGCTACCTTGCTGATTTCACTCATCAGTCCAAGTGTTCATGAAACTTTACCGAATACTTCCACAAACGCGTAAGGTACCTGCACCCACTTATTGTTCTAATGTTATATGCTTCACACAAAGATGTAATTTGGTCATTCACATTTGCATCTTAAATTATGTAAAGTCAAACTTTTAACAGTAAAAAAATACTAACATTAAACTGTCTTCGGTCTCACAAATTTGTATGCTGATGTGGAATTATAGAAATAATAAATAATAAAATACATAAAATGCTAAAAACAATATACGAACCAATGTAATATCTCGATTTCTTAAATAATTAATTGAACTATGAAGTGATGAATAGGTCTGATTCAGCTTTTTGACCTTCTGATTCTAACCTATTTGATACATTTAGTCCTTTTGGTCTTTTAACACTCATAAACATTTTTGTATATTTTTAATAATACATTTTTACAGGATGATATCAAAGCAGGAAGAATAGCTTACTTATTTCATTCAGAGAAATGGATTGAAGGTAAAAAGAATCTTGCTTTTCTGAAACACACTTCTGATATTGACGATGAATATATTGTTTGTGCAAATATTGTAAGGAGAAATATTCCTGAGAAAATACAGGAAGATAATAATTACTTTAAAAACATTTACAGTACAGTAAAACTTAATAACTCGCAAAGCATTACAGGAGTAATTAATTATCATGATTATACGAAACAGATATCGTCCCACATTCTATTTGGTTCAGTTTCAATATCCTACAATTATGTATTCAAATACAATCGAAATCGTATACTAAACATATATCCCTTAATGGTATACAATGGACAGGTTGGGGAAATTACTGTAAACCATATTAACACAGATCAAATAAAAGAACTCTTAGAAATTAATTCAACAGAGATTAAAAGCGTAAGTCTATTCTTATCAGCACTTCATTTATCTGTGTCAAATAGTGTCATTTTCTTAACTTCTTAGATGAGCATTTACCCGGTCAAATACCGTCATCACTAAGTTTCACATTTTCAACTGTTTAAATATTGAAAGTATACATTTTTAAATAGTAGACTCTGTGCTGATTCACGAATACTGTTTGGAGCTAGTACAGTTAGTATATTTGTTTGTTTTTGATATTGAAACCCGCAACGTACACTAACTGATGATTATTCAACGACTACTGTTAATAAACAGACGATAGACATAATGTCAAGTTTGTAAAGAGCAGGAACGCAATTTATTCATAACTAAATGTAAGTTTACGCAACAGGGAACCCTAATGGTATCAAACGCTGAAGTTTGAACTAGACTTGTGTCATAAAACTTTAAAATCATTAACACGAAATCTCTTTTCTGTTATATTTTCTTTAAATTTGGATACAAGGACTGAAATGTTTAAGTTATGAAAACATTAGTCTAGGTCGTAAATCGAATTATTACTGATGTGCTATTAAATTGAAGGATGACCTAGACTCCCAACCAATTAGCAGTGGTTTATACGTGCTACGCACACATTTTCTAAATCAAAAGCCAATGTGAAAATTGTCAACACTGTCAGCTTCAACGGCCACATAAGTAATATAGTTTCCATGTCAATAAAATGATTTTATTACTACACAATAACTGCCTTAACAACTATTTTTTTTTCATTAAAAAACAGTTTAAAATTGTAAAGGAAGTCAAGCACGGCTCTCTGTGGTTCGGATCAAAGTTGGTAAAGGCTGGAAGTGTTATTCCTGGCCTATTTAGTGGAGTGTTGTCAGAAAAACTTACCTATCATCACGATGGTTCGTCAAGTAATGCGGACAGTTTTGAACTACTAGTAAGTCTAAGGTACTTTTTTTCCTCTATGTAAATATCTGAAGAGTGGTGAGTTAAGAAACGTTTTGTACAGTTATTCTATTGCTCATGTTTACGAAATTTGCTCTACTACTAAGAACATGGTTGTAAAATAGACAAGTTATTTTACATACTTCGAAGAATCTATCACTTTGTGGAGAACGAAATATATAAAAATGGTAGCCTTTTTCTTGGAAATACATTTATGTACAGTACAGAAGTAGAAGCGTATCTCACTGAAAAATATCTACCCGTTGTGCTGAATCTTCACATGAAATTATAATCAGCAGGGACCTTTCGTTATAGCTGTAGCATACTCAAGCCTCTACTGCTTTTCCTCTTTTATTCTGAAAAATACACAGGATTTGTATAAATATGTATATATGTTTTCTGATTTCTTTTTTGCAATTTATCAAGGTGGAAGAGAAGCAGAAATTTCATTGATATGCTACAGACATATGACACTGTTATACTGAAGAAGCACCTTTTTCATTCAAAGGCCAAACAATTAAGTGGGAATTTTTAAGTGGATGCCTTTGCATAGACCATGGTTTGGAGTCAGCCATATAACAGTTAAAGATTTACATTTTGGAAAAATGAGATTTTCTCTACATCTAGTTTTCAATACTATTCCATCCCAACAATTTCCCTTTGCTCAGGAGAGAAAAAAATATTCCTGTGGCCTGTAAATTTCAGTAGTACTCATATTTTTGAAATCAGCTGGAAAGGTATAAAATGATTGTAGTTTAATAGTTCATATCACCTACATTAATTCATACATAGAGCCTTAAAATTACATTGCTGCTATTAGTGTAACACTATAGAAAAATTCCCATTTAGACGTTTAGAAGGCAAAAGGATTGAACGATGAAATATTTGCTTTTCAGTCAGATTCTTATCTCTGCTTCTACTCCTGATCTATATTGCATTTTTAATACAATACAAAAGAATTTAGCGACCTACTGGTGATAAGCTTGTTAAAAATTACTTATTGCTTGATTACTATTAATTTTTTCAAAATTAAAGATTATGCAATCCGCTTATTGTAACCATTTCCACCCTTTAATTGTTTGTATTAACTTTCTCGATGTTGAGATTGACTAATTCCTCTTAAAAAGCTTGTGGCCGATGGATTGGTAACATGTTTTGCATTGTATTAAAAATGCAATATATATACATATATATAACATGTATATATATTTATATATATGCCCAAACTTCAAGTTGTACATTCGAAAGTTAGACATAAAAGTTAATAATAATAGGAACATTCAGTTGACTGTTGTATGCAGCCACAAATCCCTTCCCTTTGTTCCAAATCGGTAAAAGTAGTAAACCTACCTACCAGTAGAGAGACAAAATAAATATTACAGTACACGGTAAACTTTGGACACTAACACAAGAGTGCTATCGTCGAAACAACCGATTCGAGATCCATTCATCACACTACAGCTTGTGAATAACAAACTAAGGGATAACATTCTTAAGAAACACCGTTTGCAAGTATCCAAGTGACTTTCCCAGATTGATCATATTTGAAATGCCTGCAATTATGTGCTAAATATATTTTTTCACGACAAATCTCAGAATGTAAATACAGATGAATTTTTAATCTACCTGTCCATATTGATGATGCTGACGGACTTGTTTAAACGACGCAAAGTCTGGCATTGCTGTTATGCTAAAATGGTGAAGTTCTCCACTGCCTGATGTCAATGAAAATGACGTATGCGAAATGTATAATTTGCACACTGCATTAACTTCGAATGTTCCATTTGCATGTAGCAGTTCGTGATATGACGACATTATCAAATGCAGTTGTTCTATACTTCTTGGATAACAATTTTTCAAGTACTGGTTTTCGTAGAGATTTCTTTTGATTGGATGGAGAATTGGATCATGAGCTGACATCAGTTACAGAACCATTGGAAACCTGGGAGTACTGGAAAGCTGTTTCGTTTTCCAATGGTTCTCTAAATGATGTCAGCTAATGATGAAATCCTCCATCCAATCAAAATTTTCAATTATTTTTCAACATGCAATTTGCAGCAGCTAAATAACCAGTCTAGATAGTAACACGCAGTAACACAGAGAAACTTTTTTGAGCTATTTTTTATCCCTAAACCTCTCAAAATATAAAATTCCAAAAACATTTTTCCTGTGGCATTATACTGCTGTTAGGTTAATTATAATTTAGAAATATTTCACTGTCAAGTGTTATGGTTTATGAAAACGTCTTACAAATGGAGTTTAGGAGTAATATGCATTGTAATAATAAGCTTTTCTAAAACATTGTGTTCGAGCATTGATGAGTTGGATGAAAGAATGATTTGTAGATATTTTAATCCAGGATTTCTCACTGAATACTACTGTTTGTAGCATTGTGTGTAGCATTGAATAATTGTAACATTCCTTCCCTCTGAGTTGAGTGTTGCTGTCATGATCCTGGAGGAGGTTGATTCCCACAGCATTAGAGCTTTAACTGACACTGGTGAAATCATGGTAACACTCCCTCAGTGTGTTCGTGGTTGTCGTCTGCGTAGGTGACCGGAGTAGATTACCGACTCTCCAGTTGACAATTTGACTAGTCCACATCCATTCCATCTGCTGCCCAGATACCCGGCACTTCTTTGCCATATCCTCGCATTTCGTTGGCTAATTGAGCAGCCTTCGCAGCCTCGTACATTGTACGGACATTCTACGTCCCCATTCTTATTCTTGCTGTCATCGAGAGAAGACTCATTGGCTGACTGGCTTTCCGAAGGCTTTCACCAGCCCGCGTCATTTCGCTTCTCCAATTCGAGCGAGGAATACGAATGTTGTTATTTGAATGTTTTGTATTTTTAACATATTTTTTGTGTATTTAAGTTTCTCTAGCTTTTTTATATATTCAGTAGTATAGGGTTGCTTGCCCTACGCCCAACCCTCCCTTTCTAGCCGGGCTTGGGACCGACTAGAAAACATGCAAGCTAGTTAACTAGGCTAGGTTAATCCTTCCATCTAGCCCACCTTACTTAAAAAAATGCAAAAATAATTTAATGATAAAGAAATTGGAATGCATCAAGGGTGACTTTGAAATTGATGCCATTGTAATACAGGACATGTTATGCATTGATCTGCAAGAAAACTAAAATATGTTGACTGTGATTCTTAACAGATCATATCGTATAAATAACGTAAACCCGGCTGCTACAAAAGAACTTGAAAGCAAAAGCACCCGCAGACTTTCTGTGTAATGAAATGTGTTTTCTTTAAAATGGAACTATATAGTCATTTTACAAAGTAATATGGTTTAAGTTACTTTTGAAAAAGACATATAAGTATGTAGTGTGGCGTTTTCTGAGAAAGTAATGTTAGTATATGTATAACTGGAGTATCCTCTGTAGAATAAACGTGGAGGAGATAGTTTCAATCCTGAAAAAACTTAGTAAATCATATACAGTGAAGAATAAAGTATCTGGAGTGAACTGAATTATCAGCTTTGAACTTTGTACAAAAGTGCAGCAGTTACCACACTTCCGAAAAGCACATAAAATTAGAGGTAGGAAGTGTAATTAAATTAAGATAGACGAACATGTACCAGAGAAATAATATTTTTATGAAAAACCTAAAATATTATATGGAGTGAATACGTAGGATTATTAGGCGAATATAAAATGTTACATAATATGGTGTGAAATTTGATACGATAGAATTCAGTATTGTAAAAATAAAAATATAATAATTTTGGATTTAGAATGACAAGTGGGACAAGCGAAAGCAATTCAGAGTGAGAATAGTAATAATAATAATAATGATAATCATAGTAACAAGGGACAGGTACATAAAATAACTAAATAAATAAATAAATAAATGTCTATCCATCTACGGCCAAGGCGGAAATTGGGAATTTTACATGCTTCTTTTGTACACAAAGGTCTGGCATATAGTCATGAATTACCAAGGCCTCCGCTGTCTTTAAAAGTCTATAACGAAGAAAACGCGGCAAGTTAGCATAGATACGGTATTTGATCTTAAAATCACGGTCAGCGTCGGCAGAGTGACAGCAATCGATCAGGTGTTCTAGAATAGAGCTACTCACACACTTCCTTTCTCCCTTGTAAATCCATGCTGGAATATGTTCCCGTATCCGTGTGGAAAGCGTCCTCTGGCTACGGCCAATATGCCTTGCTCCACAAGAGCAGGTGAACTGATAGATACACATGGAGGCGGCCAGACGGTGGAGCTTATCTTTTACAGAGATGGAGAAAAACTTGCGGCTGGTGAACGTCATTTTTAATTTTGCTGTTTATGTCAGTTCTGTGAATCAAGTTTTAAACGGCCTAAGAATGATTGCATGTAACAGCGTTAAAATGAATGAAGTTCTCTACTCAATACTAATTAACACTTAAACACTTTATGTTTGACCCACAAATAGATACTCTTGAATATGATCATATTAACAAGTTCCCAATTCATTTAACTTTCCGTTTTTTTCGTTTGTTATGTTGTCAACTAGATAAATCAACTGAAACGATCTCTAACTGACTATGAACAACCTGTTATTTTCCCAATTCAAATTCTTCCCAGAATCAGCGCACCACTGAGACTAATTAATCCAACGCCTAGGTCTATGCACAACAATCTGAGAAGAACTAGTGAAAATATTATTGTGGTGAAAACAAATAGTTATGTTACAATAACAAATGAACATTTATTCGTTGATCATGCTTTTATTCAGCCACAATTTATTTATATACATTTCAAAATGTTACCAAAGTACGGCAAACTGTATTACTCATATAATTCATTCAACCAAGAACATGACGCTTTGATACCTGAATGTGAAACAATACACAAAATAACACAATATGATATAAATCTGAAAAGGTTAAGATACTATGCAAATCACGCTGTTGGACTTAAGAATAAGGATAATAACCAGGGAGTTCTTCGTGATTCAGTAGTATTTGAGGTTTATCAAAAGGAATACCCAAATCTATCAGTTAATCATTTGACCGGTAGTCTAGAGTTTCAGTTGATATTCGGTAATCTAACATTGAATAATTCAATATATTTCAGCCTTCTTCAGAATGAGACAAAATTATGGCTTGATACTAGTATGATAAACGTTGAGCTAAGTGAACATAGTTATTACCAAAAGTATGATTATAATCAGCAGATGTATTTTATTATTCGACAATTACCTAAATACGGGAAAATATATGTCGATACGATACCTGTACAATATTTCAGTTACCAACAACTACAGGAAAAACGTGTTTATTATGAAAAGACGAATCTCTCCACTGCAAATGATTCATTTATTATTAAGATGGAAAATAACTTATGTGGAGCAGCTGTAAGAAGTCGATTGATTTATTTCCACCAAAATGTTGATTATAAGCAAAATTTTAGTGTTCAATCTGTTAATTTTGATGCACATCATCTTACTTTTAGTATTTATATAACTGTGAAGTCATTAGCCTATATTGATACACTGTATGTTACTCCCGGAAAAATTTCTAAAATCAATCCAGCAAGTCTAAAATTGAAAGAATTCGAAAAATTCATTCAAAAACACAATGTAGCAGCTGTTAGTCCACATCTACAAAATTCTTTGGAATCCTCAATATTTACTTTCCCAACTGGAGCAGTGTTGAAATCTGGAAGGTTTTATATTAACGATAGACTAGTTATCTCAAGTGGTTACCTAAATGACGAACCATCTAGTTCGATAGATATTAGTTTGAAAGATTTTCAGCTCAATAGTGTTTCGTTTGAGGCCTACAAAGTGAGCAGTGACAGGTTAGGAATCTATGAAGAAATAATACCATATATATTTACTGTGGGCACTTCTGTCTCCTCTATGAATTATTTAACTCCTCCAGCTCTTAAATTTATTCAGCCCGGTTTCGGTGTTTTAAAGATATCAATGACAAATACATCATTTTCTTTATGGAGCAATAACAGTCTAAATAACAACAGTAGAAATCATAGTAGTGTATTCTCACCATCATTGTCATCAGTAAATGAATTCGAAAAATTCGGTGAGAATGACAAATACTTAGGCACAGGGAAAATCGCATTTACAGTTGCTGGACTTGCACTATCTATAGCATTTATTTCAGTGTTGATTATTTGTACTATAGGCTGCTGTATATACAAATGTAAAAACAAAGCAGTCAAAAGAACAATCAATGTTTTGGAATCACCAGAGAAATGTGCACCCAGTAGTCTTCCATTAACAACACCTCTATCGAATGGTGAATCCAAAGAGGGTTCCAACAGCTACATACTAAAAAGAAATCACGGATTCCTTAATAAACATTTGAGTGTAATAAATAATAAGGATGAAAAGTTTGATACAATTCAGTGGACTAATAGTCCTGTTTTATCAGTCAAATCATCCAAAGTAACATTCAATAAAAGTATCAAAATCGCTCCTGGTTTTCCAGCGGAACTACCTTCAACGTCAACCCTAGACTATGCATGTAGTTGTGATTTCAGCGGTGCAGTGATCTACTGTACAGGAGATATGCAGACAGCTAATGACCTACCTCCGTGTATTAGACAAATCGGAACTAAACTTTTAAGTAGTGCCAGTAGTGATGCTGATTCAGTCTTGCATTTAACATCACCAACTAACATATTACCATCTCAGGCGCAAATAATTCAAATCCCGTCATCATTGTGTTCAAGATTTCTACAAAACCAACAGCATCCTTCACAGCTTATAAACTCTATTATCTTAACTCCAATGCCTACAACCAGCTTAGATTTTCACAGTACAACTATACTGGCTCAGCATGAAACTGTCAAGGAGGTCAGCTTAGATATTGAAAACGCTGTCCCTTTGCCACCGTTCAACTCACATGGAAATGATTTTTCAAAAGACAAGTGTACAGTAGTAAGTGAAAAACAGAATTTAAAAGATGATAACAAAAGAATGAATAATTATCTAGAAATTACTGATTGTGAAAATATTAGAAAACATGACATAAATACTGACCTGATTTGTATAGATACACTGCCAGATAAAAGTCAGAAGCACTCTGAGACAAATGAGTCAATAACTTGTTTTTTGACTAATGTATATGATGAAGATTTCACATAAATCATCTAGTCGTATGATTAAGATATTTTCCTACCGGCTAAATCTTTTCTGCTATAAACTAATTTCTCTTACAGATAAATAGAACACAATTAATGAGCGAGTATACTGGAACTATTTATAGAAGCATAATGACGGCAACTACTATTTTTTTATAAACCAGAATCATAGTTTTTATTTTTGTTATATTTTGAAAAAAATAAATGATTTTCTATATTTCCTTTGTTTAATAAGTTTTAATATTCGTGTTTATATATTTGTAAATGCTGGTCATTTTTCTAATTCTATAAATAATGTTTACAACCGAATTATCAGTTATTACTTATTCCTTTTGTGTCATTTCATTTAATGACAGAACAGGAAACATTAATGTAATTTTCTATAGTTGGTTTATAAAGATTAGTTTTGTTTTCACGAGTTGATCACAAATTGATATCAGTTAGAGAACCATTGAAAACCAGGGAGTACTGGACAGCTGTTTCATCCTAGTTTGAGAATCATCGACAGTACACACCCAAACCAGGATGAAACAGCTGTTTAGAACTCCTTGGTTTTCAACGGTTCTCTAACTGATATCAATCCGTGGTCAACTCGTGTTAATGTAATTGTTATGTTTGTGGTGTCGTTCATATATATCTGAGGAGAGTAATTTTTGTTTTTGAATCCGAAACAAATCAATGAAAACAAAGCATTACTTCAATCAGACGAGCAAAACATATCTACAGTTCAATGATCAGTCCTTATAAGCCAATCCAAACTTCTAAGTTTTGCGACATGAAAATTATTTCACGATTTGCGATTTACAGCTGGAAAGCCGAAATTATTCGGAACTAAGTGTTTTCTCTGTGTTATGTCAAACCTAGTGCACCGCTAATGAGCTCATCCACAAACGAGTGAAATGGTCATCCGGTGGTCTGGTCACTTCGATCTGGCTAGCAACGACTACTGATTGCTATATCAATAATCTATAGTATATAGCGTCATGCATTTATGATTATCTAATTTTGATTGATTTGCTTATCGGTAATTGCGTGAATAGTTGATAGAATTAAAACAATGCAGAATACAGTGAAGTGAGGAAAACTGGTTTAATCCAAAGAATACGGGCTTTTTGTATCTTTAGATGTAAACTGCATCACCATTACCTAGTGTTTATCCAAAATGGTTGAAAATTAAGGGTATTTTTATTCCAAACAATACTTTTCTAATGCAGTATGGAATATTCAGCCCAAATCTCAGCCATTTTGATCTATCAACCTTTAGTGTTAACTGAAAGATACTGCAAAATTATGTGATTGTCCGGCCAAATGACACAACAGTGTCAAAAATACTACTGTGTTGGAGACGGCAAACTTTCAGAGGAAGTGTTTATGCTGAAGCGACTTGCACTAATAAGTGTTCATCAGGTTGTAAAACTGGTATAATGTTCATCAGAATAGTTTCTCTTTTTTACCAAATAGGAATTTTATTGGCACTAATATGCAGTACGAAGAATGTAGGAATCACAAAGAAACTATTACCAAAATTGGTAAATAGAAAATACAGTAGGGTAATGAAATTATGCTCCTCAGATTTCGTTTCAGTGACAGTAATACCACAAGAAGTATGAAGACTACTAAAAAGTGTTATGCTGAGGAATCGATACTTAGAAATTTGCTTTGATTACATCAAACCGAAATAGGTATAACACCCCAGCTTTTGAAACCTTTAAATCTGTTGTGTGGAAGAACACGGAAATAGTCAGACATCAAGATTTTTGAGCATGTATGTGTATACGTAAATTTTAATGGTGATTTACAGTGCACAAAACTACTGCATAGTAAACTCAACCCCAGGATGAAACACCAAACTCCCTCACAAACAAATTACTTTACATACTTCGAAGAATCTATCACTTTGTAGAGAACGAAATATATAAAAATGGTAGCCTTTTTCTTGGAAATACATTTATGTACAGTACAAAAATAGAAGCGTATCTTACTGGAAAATATTTATCCGTTGTGTTGAATCTTCACATGAAATTATAATCAGTAGGGACCATTTCGTCATTTATCATGTGGGAAACAGATTATCACCAATAACTCTAGCGATAATTTTAATGAAAAGTAGAGTCCTTCTGATGGCCCTGTAAAATCAAAAGCTCTTTCGTTGAAACGGAATAACTGTTTGGAAAATCCCTCCCAAACGAACTTACTACAGTATTGGTACTTATCAGGATGTTTAAACTAACTTTGTAATTATTGTCCATTTTTCTCCTAGACTATATATAATTCTGCTGAACTTTGCATACCATATGTTGATTTGATACTAGTTATTGGTCTTTGTCCCTGTTTACTCTCTCATTTTCATGCTTCTCTTTGTTGTTGTCCGCTCGCTGACAATATGTTGTTTAACAATATGAGTTTGTTTGTGTGAACGAAGGGGATTCTAACCCAAGACAGTATGCGAAAAGCGTTGATGTGTGATTCTTGTTGATAGAGCTTTAGACCCCATCTCGTTGGGAATATACTGTGCGATTCTAAGGTACCTTTTACAGTTGAACTTTGGTTCACTAATTTTGTATTTAGAAACCCACATTGTCTCTATAGCTGCTTCACGGTACTGTTGAGGTAAATTTGAGTTTGATGTCATTATTGTTTAATAGAACTGCTAAAATATTGAAGAATAATCTTCTCTCCCCTGCCTTTGGAATGTTTTGTAATAGCACGTGTCTCAACGAATGTTTTGTCGGCTATGCAGAGGAACGTGGAGATCAGTTTCTTGCTTTCAGACGATAATCAAAAAAATTTGGTCGCTACACAAAGAACCTAACAAAGTAGCAGTGATTATTCTCTACTCACCAAGTAGTATATTTCCGAAATGCTTTAGATCGCATAAACTACAAGCATTGAAGAGATTCAGCACAAAATGTATGTTGAAAAATAATTAGTCTTCCAATAATTTGCCTGTTTAGTGAATGAACTGTGCACTTGGTGCTTTCACTTAAGAAGTAAGGATGCACTATTCAGGAAATTCCATGAAATCACCAGGAAAAGCAGAGGGAATGTTATTACAATGAATGATCAGTGTCTACATTATATTCGAAAATATATCCTATAAACAGAGTGATGGAGCTATGATGGGTTTGTTTTTGGGTCCCATGCAAGTAGACATTTTCCTGGGAAAATATTTCCCCAAGATACACAAAGGATAGTCTCAGTTCCTGTAGAAAAGAAACTTAACTGTTTCTTTAATTGCACAGATGAAGAAAACTTATAAACTAAAAGAAACATTGCAAAAATCAGCTATCCAGAGAATTTCTGAAGAAACGACCTGGCCAGACCTATGGTGATGGATACCACAAATAATGAAATCTCTTATGGTGGATAAATTTAGAAAGGCGACGTGGTGATATTCAGTTGAATTCCTCATTTCACTTCCTTGATGTAAAGCTAGATAGAAGAGAGAATGGTACGTAGCTAAGGTCGATTTACCGAAAGCCAACATTCACTTGGCAGTACACTAACTTCAACAGTTAAGTACCGTTAGGGAGAAAGAGAAATCTTATTCATTCCTTATGCTCTAAAATTCGTAAAATCTGCTCTGCAGAGACAATCGATAGTGAACTAGATAAGCTTCGATCAAATCTCCTTAGTAATGGTTATCCTACAAGGTTTATCGAACGTAACATCAAGAAAGAACACGCCCCCAGACAAATTACAGTGCCGAAGAAGAAACTGTTTATGAGTCTGGCATTCAAAGGTGACACCATTTCGGAACTGATTAAAAATCGTTTATCTAAATGTATTAAACGTACTTTTCCTACAGCTGACTTACAACTAGTTTTTACCAGCCGAAATATGATTAGACAATGCGTCAAGGATAGATTACCGCTTTTGTCCACATCCATGTGTATTTACTCTTTTACCTGCTCTTGTGGAGCTGTTTATATTGGACGTTGTAAGCGTAATCTCCCAAAAACGTGTAGCTGAACACTATCCAGTCTGGTTAATGAAAGGCGAACGTAGAACTGCGAAGTCGTCTATCTGTGATCACCTGTTAGAGTCAGGTCATTTAGCCCCACGTGATTCATCTTTCAAAGTTATCTACATGGCAAAATCGAATCGATCCAAAAGTTTACGTTTTCTTCACTTATGCATAGCCGAAGCTTTAGCTATACATGAACAGAAACCTAAATTATATGTTCAAAAACGTTTTGTCAAACCCCTTTCTTTACCTTGGTCATAGTAATGTTCTTTCTACTTTTTACTTTATTTTATTTTACCACTTGAAATCTTTCTACTTCACTTCACATCTTCATTCTTATCGTAATCGTACTCTTATTTTATAAAATTTTTAGACAACACTTGACATTTTTAAAACATTTTTCAATTCACTTATAAAACAACCTTTAATAATTTTGTGATTTATCCACTTCAACTCTACCCCTTATTACATTTTAATTATCGTTATTCTTATCACATATATGTATATTGACTGAGCAATTATTTAGTGCCACTTAATGACCTTTTCTGTAATATAAATACGACTGTACAGCTTGAAAATGAAGTCGTTGAAAAGAAATTTCTTCTCTGAACAAAAACTGTGTTTATACTTATGAATACTCAATAGTGTAGACAAAAATAAGAAGTGTTTATAGAAAACCTACATCAACTGGCCAGTACACACATTTCCTCAGCTTTGTGCCCTTGAAATACAAACGCAATCTGATAAAGTGCTTGGTCCACAGAGCAAGAGCAATTCGCTCGGACGAATGTCTTGACGAGGAACTTAACAATATTAAACGGTTTCTAAGTGAAAATGGTTATCCTGAAAAGTTTATTGATAACAATATGAATCTAAAATCAAAGCAGCCCAAGGTACCAACAGTTCCAAAAAAGGCCTTATTCTTACAAATGCAGTTCCTTGGAGACAACATCGGCGAGAAACTAACACAGCGCCTTAGAAATGAGCATTCCCTGCTGCCGAATTACGCTGTGTCTTCAAAACCACTCCTCTTTTGTGTTCGGGAGTAAAAGACAATCTGCTTAATTTCGCCTCTTCCATGTGTATCTACCAATTTAACTGCTCCTGTGGAGCCCGTTACATGGGCCGTACAATTAGACGTGTTTCTCGGCGAATTTCTGAGCATCACCCTGTGTGGTTAAGCAAAGGACAAACAAAATCTATCCGCAGCGCTATTCTATCTCATCTTGTGGATACAGAACACAAGATTGACGTTAACCATGCTTTCAGGGTCATTTACCGCATACCTACGAATCTCAATTTTG